CTATTATGGAGAAAGAAAAATATCTTCTTGCAGAAAAAGTATTGATAATGGTAATACAGTTAAAATCATTATACATACACTTCTTAGTTTCTATCCCTTTTCCTAATGTTATGCCCTTGCTCTGCTCCTCTGGCTTGACCCTGGTGGTGGTGGTGGGGTGGTGAGGTGTTGTTGGCATCTGGAGTCCTTCACTGGAGGAATATGATGTTCATGATGATGGTTTCTTCTTCCCCATGCTAGAATCCACTCTGGATCCTTTTTATATACTTCCTAACATGTTTCTAAACCTTGCTTTTTCTTGGTCTGCAAATCCTTGTTACATCTGAATGTTCTGGTGTCATTTATTTATATTAGGTACTATTTTATTATTATTATTCTCTTTGCTGACCTAAAACTAGTTTTGTCCAGCTCCAGGCCTGAATTTCTTTAGCTGACTGTTGGAGGATTGTTTATATCTGTGGTGTCCCCAGCACCAAGCCTGTGCCCCATCTCCTATCTCCCACAACCCCACTCCTCTGTATCGCCTCCTGGGTCTCCACTTCTCAACGCTTCTGTTACCATAACAAGCCTGTTTGTTTGTTTGCTTGTTTGTTTTCCTACACTATGCATTATGCTAGAGTTGTAAAACTGCAAGAGTACCATACAAAGATAAATGAAAATAAAAACAAAAAGTAGCTATAGACACATAGTGAATTAGAAAATGGCGAAAATGGCCCTTAACTGGTATTGGCAATACTCTATTACTGGCTACATGGTTACACCCTTATCCAAAACCAAGTGGTGGTGACAATCTAGAGGGCAAAGGACCAGAGGCTGGAGTGTGTCCCTGGTGCCATTAAGTGTGGGTGATGAACCAAGGGTTGCCTCCCTACCTCCTCAGGGGCCCAGGTCTCTGCTCAAGGGCACGGAGGAGTCAACTTGCTGGCCAGGCTCCCTGCAAGTCCAGTGCTGACTCAGTAGAACGTGGCCTCTGATACAGTTCAACTGCTCAGCCAGTTGTCATTTTCTAGTACCTCATTTCATGAGACTGCTATAGGTAGTATTTTCTGATACTGAGTTACTGAGAAGTAACACTGACGCGTGGTCTCTTATTTTCCTGACACTAACCACACTCTGCAATACACTTGTTTACACACTGTACATACTACTGTATCTACACCAAAAAGATTTCAAAAGTGATTACTGTTGCCTAATTTTTCTGTATAGTAATGAATGCACAGTGACTTATAGTCTTGCTAGCATTATTTTTTTCAGCTAGATTCATGTATTTGTTCAGTTAGTTCCTTATTCTTTCTTAAGCCACTTCAGTCAGTGTTATGTATTTTAAGTATACAGTTTAAATAGAAGAGCCAAACAAGATTTAAAGGAAAGTTGGAAAATACGGGGGGAGGAGCAATACCTGGATAATACACAAGGAATCAGACCAGGAGAATAAGGGGTTTGTGAGGGACAAGGTACCAAATTCATACCCCACTGAAAACTCCCTGTCTGCTCCTGGCCTATAAACCCCATCCTCCAGTGTTCATACTGGATCCCATCAGCTTCCCAAAGCCTGCCTGACACCTCCCATCGCCTTTCTTTACCACCAGCTCCTGCCCCACAGAACTGAAGGTGGACTTCTTCCCATCCAAGACCAGGAGGGTGTGAGCTGGTGCTGGAGTCCTGTCAGAAGCTGCTTTGGAAAGCAGGTCTGACTTGGAGGGGCTGTAGGTACTCTGCTCATCACAGCCATGCACAATGGTTTCACCTCTCACTGCCCAATCTTCACCTCAGCTAACTCAGGTTTTTGGTGCTGCGAAGCTATGGCTAATGGAGGGAATGGCATCACAGCCACGAGATAGGTAACTTACCTCTGCATACTGCTTTTCTCCATATGTAGTTACCCTCTGTCTTTTTCCCTACAGTTGACTGTGCTTAAGCTGTTATGTGACCTATAGTTCTCCTTCAGGCTGTAGCAAATGAAAATATAAATGCACAGGTCAGTCTTCGAATCTTGTTCTTCCTCAACCTCACAAACACATGATAGCTCTTGGGGAAAAACAAAACAAAACAAAACAAAACAACACAAAAAAAACATTTATTTATTTGAGGAAGGACAGAAAATTAAGATTAGCAGAATAAGTATAGTTTGCAGAAAAAAATATGGAACTGAAATCGATATAGGCACCCAACAAATTTAACATCAGAGTAGCTTCACTAAAAGGCATAGGCTGCCAAGTTCCTGTGTTGTGTTTACTGTGATTTGTTTTTTTATTGTCCCAGCACAAATGTGGCATTTCAAGAAAGTGATACAACCTTTGTGTAGAATTATGGGAAATAATATGATTAACACCTGATGGTGCCTGTTTTCCATCTTCTCTCCTGTGAAAGAAGCAGAGATTTCTGTCCTTGCAGGGATCATTTGAGATTACAGGATCATCTGAGAGGCAGCTGAAGCAATTGAAAAAAACACCAGCTGTTCATTATGACTTCTCATCTGGATGTTGCTAACCCCACAGCTGAGCTGCTGGAACAGATCTGATGGGTGTTTCCTATGTCATAAAATTGTACACATTGGTGCAAGCTGCAACTGTGATTTCAGCTAAGTACGCTCTATTTCTTCAGGAGCAGACTCACGTAACTCGTCAAGGTTTAGCTCCTAGAGTTGGGGATTACGTCTGAGTGATGGGCAATAAACAACTTTCAGCAGTTCATTTAAAGTGTGGATGTTGGGATCAGCTTTTGCACACTCTGATATGAATGGAGAAATTTCATTTGAAAGCTGTTTGGTTTTGGTTCATTCTAGGGAACTGTACTTGTTTCATGTTGAGAAAAGCTGGAGATTTCATTAACAGCACAAAAGCTGAGGGTGCAAAGAACTGAGATTTCTGAAAAAGCTTTGACCTGTGCCCAGCTCTTGTTTGATGATACACCCAAGTTCTGAGAAACCGAGGAGTAGGGCCATTGAAGCCTGGTGGTCTCTGGATCAGCATCTTCTCTGGTGTCTCATTAGACTTTTCCTGCAGGTGGGACAGAGAGAGAGCAAGAGAGAGCATGCACATGCATATTTTTCTCTCCCTCCTCTTCCTTTCCTCACATTTCTGATGGGTAGCAAAGGTGGAGCCTGCGCTGCAGCTTTCCTTTCAGCAGGAGCTATAATCATAGAATCACAGAAAAATTAAGGTTGGAAAAGACCTTCAAGATCATCTGGTCCAACCATCACCCTACCAGCAATGTCACCCACTAAACCATGTCCCTAAGCACCAGATAAAATCTTTCCTTGAACACCTCCAGGGATGGTGACTCAACAACTTCCTTGGGCAGCCTGCTCCAATGCCTGACCACTCTTTCTGAAAAGAAATGTCTCCTAACCATTTTAATTGTTGAAGAGTAGTGCTCTTTGTTCAATGCTTTGTTTTAACTGTTGAAGAGTAGGGGGATAATGTTTCCATTTTTCCACTCACCAGGGACATTGCCTGAATGCCAGGACTTCTCAACTCTGATGGAGAGAGACTTGCCAGTTCCCTCAGCACCCTGGGATTCATGTCATCAGGTCCCACAGACTTGTACCTGTTTAGATTCATCAGGTGGTCTTGAACCTGCTCTTCTTTGACATTGGGTGGGACTTTGATCCCCCAGCCTCCATCTATGGGTTCAGGGAAGTGAAAGGCTTGGGAAGCCCATCTACAAGTGCAGATGGAGGCAAAGAAGTTGCTGAGTGCCTCAGCGTTCTCCATGTCTGTGGTTACCAATTACTCAGGTATAGAAACTCACTCCTAATATAAGAAATTAGCCAGCTATAATCGCTTACACACTATTTTTGCCCCTCAGTCTATGTTCACACATGTTAAAGGTGCATGGTGGCCCCTGGGAACTCCTCCTGTCACCCCAGCGCAGCAGCCCGAAGGAAGCTGGGTCCTCTCTTGTGTTCTTCCTCGAGGCTCTGTGCAGAAGGGATGCCACCTCTCACACAAGGGCTGGGGGTTGGGAAAGAAGCACTCACACAACCCCTGATAATCGGCGAGAGTTGTTTATTGCCAGGACATCTTACAGGTAAGCCTGTGGGATGTCCATGGTGTTTGGTGGCTCCAAGCTAATGCTTGGGATGGAGCCTGAGCAACAAGTAGGGAGCTCGCCGGGCACTCCTGCAATGCTGTTGATGCTCTCGGATGGAAGAGAGCAATGACATGCTGCGGTAGTCCCAGCACTGGTGTCTCTTGTGCTGCTGGCGCTATCCCTCTGCCCATGACACGTTTCCTTCTTACTGGGTGCATTCCTTCTTGGTGCTTCTTTGGACAGCATCGCTGTCCTCGCACACCAAGGAGGGCCGCATCTTGCCTTACTGCTTCTAGTCTTCTTCCTGCCATGTATGCTGCCGTCAGAGCACCTAGACACTGAGCGAGAGGTGGGCCAGTGGCAGGGGGCCTGTTTTATAGGGCCCAGGGCAAAGGCAGGGCAGTGGTGGCCACTGTGAACTCAGCAAGCCTCTGTGATGGAGTGGCCCATGCATGGCGAAAGGCGGCTGTGTTGGGAGCAGCCTGGAAGATGCTCTTTCTCCTATATCTAGCTTTTTATTTTTTTCATTATTCACAAGAACTCAGATGATATTTAATTGAAATTGTCCAATTCACTAGAAACTTTTGGAAGGCAGGATGGCCAGTGTTGCAGAATTACGTGTGGAGGGGCCACTCAACCATGCACGCACGTACTAGGCTTACCCCCTCAGAGCAGAAACAGAGCAATAATTTCTTTTCAATCTGTAAACTCATTAAAGCTATTGCAACAATTTAAAAAGAAAAAGATAAATAAGCACACGCTTACGGGCAAAACTGCGTCTGTTTTTCTTTGTTGATCCTGAGTTAAGTGGGGAAAAAAACAAACAAACAAACAAACAGGGATCAGTACTAATACTACTAATACAAAAAAGATACAGCTATTTAACTTTTTTTTTTTTTTTTTTTTTTTTTTTTTTTTTTTCCCTGTTGTTCTGCTCATCTGGTGTAAATTAAAAAAAAAAAAAAAAAAGAAATCTTTTGAGGGCCATGATTGTTTTAACCCGCCAGTAACCCCCTCGAGTTCACCAGAGCAAAAGCCAGCAAAAGCCTGTTTATTGTCCAGCAGGCATCTACACATGTTGTAAGCCACGTTCCATCTGGTCGCAACATCGCGGATCATCTGGGCGACAGCCAGGCTTCATTTGCTTCATGTCCTGGGCAGCACGGAGGCAGCCGAACAGCAACACGCCGATGACCGGCCAACCGCGACCGAGCTGGCCCCGGAGGATTTCTCGGCTGATGGCTCCCCATGACGGGGCGGTGGTGGCTCTGCGGGCGGTGTCTTTGTGCCATGGCCCAGGCCGGGCTCTCTGGGGTGGTTTGGCCATGCGGGAAGGTGCCGGGGAGCGATGGGAGATGCCTCATGGTGCTGGGGGAGTGCGTTGGGTGCGCCTCAAACTCGTCCTGCCAAAACGCAGCGTGTGCCAGGCGCAGGGCAGGGTTCAAGGCATCCCCTGCCAAAGGAGCGGGGGCCGTGACGTCATGGAGAGGCCGGATGACGTCACGGCCCAGCGGGGCGCCATTTGGCGTCATATCGGGGCCGGGGGCCGCGTGGCGGCGCTGCGACACCGCCGGCAGGGCCGGGCCGGGGCCCAGGGAGGAGAAGGGGCTGGGGACGGATCTGGGAGGCTCGGGAGCGGAGCGGCCGCGGGTCCCTCGCAGACGGGGGGGCACAGCAGAGGGACGGGGCGGTTTTGCCCAGCACAGCCATCAAACATTTCGCCGTTCCCTTCCCCACGCAAATATTTCCCCGTATTCATAGCGCGCCGAGTGCCAAACGAGATGTCTGTCCCCCAGTTGCCACATCCCGCTTTGCCTCAAGAGCCCCTAGACAGTGACGCATTTCCACCCAAACAATATCCTAAGCCAGCAGAGAAATGCATGTTCAGTTTATCTTGCAAAGGACTCAATGCCAAACTGACGCCGAGCAGGCTGCAACTGCGCTCTGCAGTTCGCTGAGCAATCCCAGAGTTTGTGGTGGTGGTTGTTCAGGAGGATTTGCCGTACTGATGAACAAGCTGTAAAATGCTGAGCAGAAACTAAGCTACTTCCATTCCTCTATTAGTGCCAAGGGGGATTTTAAAACTGACGTCAACCTTTATCATTGCGACCATACAATATACTGCATTTCTGTTCAAGATTGCTAACAAATATACAATAACAAAATCATTTTGCTCACTGGAAAAGAAAATATTTTTAATAGTATTTGTTGCACGGTTATATCCTGACATATATTGACTTTTCCAATGAATATTGCTTTCTGTTTAGGAGTGATTTATGTATTTTTTTTTTTTTCCTCAGGAAATTTGAAATTGTTTTCAGTGCTGAAGCTGTAATGATTGTCAGCATATTCTGCCGACAGCAGCATCAGTGTTAATTGTGAGCAGAATACACTGACAAGTAAAGAAATGAAGAAAGAAAGCGGAGGATCCTACCCTGAATATTTCTACAAATGTGCTTGTTTGCCGCAAACCAGGACCATGGTGTTTTGCAGTCTTTTGAGCGTAAAACAGCTTGCGGTGCTGTGCAGGAAGGCATCAAAATGGGGACTGCAACAGATTGTATGGGGATCTGAAAACCTCTCACACACAAACATTCAGGAAAAATGCTAAGTTTTGTTCCTTCCTGGGTAGGATCTCAACCCAGCTCCCATAAACTTGAGTCTTAAGAAAGCAACTAGCAATATTTAGTTATACCATTTTTTTTCTTCAGCTACTCACTTGGCCTGAATTATGCTTTCCATCTGAAGCCTAATTTGTCTCTGCTGAATGGCATGGTTTCTACTGTCTCTGTAATTAAAAATGAACAAATGCATACTTAAAATTTTCACTGTGGCAAATGACACATTTCATTTGGTTTATTTAGCTTCATTCCGTCTGCTCAGTCCAGCCCCAGTCTGCATGCTGTCTATTTCTACAGGAAACTGTCTTCTGACATATGATGTCTGTGGAGGTGGTGCAGTATTTGTGCCTTGCTTTGGATGCTAATAATTTCATAAAGACCCTGAAAGCAAAGTAGTTGAAGAATGTGAAATATTGCCAAGAAATACAGGTCCAAACAAATAAGGACACTTTCAATTTGAACATTTTTAAAAAGGAGATAAACCCTTTAATAAACTTCCATAAATGTGCAGTCACTTTTCAGAGAACTGCTGTTGCAGAAACTATATTAACTGTAATTCAGGATTGTTTCTACTATAAATGTGGTCATTTGGCTCTTTTTAGCAAATGGTGACAGCTCTAAATTATCCAAATGAAGTGTATCACAGCATTTTTCAAGATAATCATTGCACTAATTTTTTTATTTGCTAGATAGAATGTACTTACTGTTCAATAAAATGCAACTTTAATGAATTAATGAATTGGTGAGTACCGTAAATATGTAAAAAGTTCTCTTCAGCTCCATCAGGGGCACTCTCCGATGTGGAAGGCAAAGAGCTGGGTCACTGTATGCTGCAGATACCCACTGCACAGTGAAGCAGCCTTCAGCTCAAAACCTGGCATCCAGTAGCAGACAATGAAGCTGTTACAGATCCCAGGTAGTTATGTTTTGCTTGTGTTTGTGTGATACTTACACTAATCTGAGCAGAAAACCTTTACTATATTTTAAGGGACATTAGAGGTTTTAATAACTGAATGAAGGGCAAGTGATTCCTTGTGTTACACTCCCTCGTACAAGCTTTGAGGAGCAGCTCTGTAAACCTAAACATGCAAACAGCTGCCTGGGATGTCCCCTGGGGCAAACCTGTGCTGGTTGCTGAGCAGCTCCCTCCTTTCTCCCATGGGGACAGCAGCCTCAGGTGACCGCTCCCCAGACACAAAAGGAGGATTACTGAATGAAAAATTGTGATGTGTCCTGAAAGGGTGAAGACCTGCTTTTGGCTTTTCATGGCTGTATGAGGGTGGAGGGAGGCAAAAGCAGCCCAGGAAGCCTTGGGAAAGGACAGATCCATGATGCTTATGGGGATGTGCCGCCAGAAAATTGCAGCCCAGGGCACCTCCATGGCACTCAGATGGGCACGTGTGCCTTGAATTTGGCAGAGGATGGACGTGTACTGAAGGGGCCAATACTAAGTGATGGCATTACAACAGGGAAACAACCTGCTCTGGCTGTTGTTTCATGGTATGTGTTACATGAAACAGGAATTCTGTTGTTCCTCTCCACTGTGGTTTGTAAAATGTTGTGGATAGGCTCATTTGCACGCAAAATCTCATGGTGCTTCTTCATCTTGAGCTGCTTTGAAAGGATGGGCTGTGCTGACAGTGTAATGAAAGCTGCCTGAGCCTATGAAGGCACAGAGGAAACCCATGTTTTACTGGGGAAAATGTTCTTGTGCCTTCATCCATTAGTGTTATTGTTACTGTACTTGTGTTAGGCGGAGAGCCCGGTTTTACACTGTCTAGGAACAGGACTACATTTTACCGAAGCCCCCTCACAAAGCAGTCTGACCTGCTGAAGATGACAGACACTTCTTCCTGAGACTTGGGTAGGATGAAGGCTGGGTCTAAGGCTGTAATCCTGCTCCCACCAGTGCCAGCAACAAAAATCCCATCCAGTCCAACAGGACTGGATTTCCTCTCCAAGGAAAGATTTTTTGATTGTTCTCCCAGGCACAAAGCAACCGATGTAATCCATGACTGCAGAGATGACAGCCTTGGTAGTGGTGGGCAAAGCAACATCAGGGAAATCTTCTCACAAGAGACATGCTTTGCTTTGATTGCCTTGACTTTAAAAACATTCCCTCACCTATTGTCAGGCTCTTGTGGAAAAAAAAAAAAAAAGAAAAAAAAGAAAGAAAGAAAATTAGAAAAAAAAAAGAGAAACATGAGAATTACATCTAATGGACAAAATAAAATTTCAACTGATAGGAAAGTGTTTACAGTTTTCAGATGAAAACTAATCTGTTACATACCAGTTTATTTATTTGTTTTCTAGGTTTTTAAAATGATAGCAACGATAATGATCTTGATAATCTTATCTGGAAAATATGTCTCCTGCAGAGATTTTCAGTTAACCAAACCCAGCAAAATTAATTTTCTAATAATTGGTTTTAAGTAATTGAGTTTAACTTCGGTAGCTCAGATCATTAAAACTGCTAAAAACCCCACACTTATTATCTCTACATAAAATAACTTAAGGTACAAAAAAAAATAGTTATATTGCTGTGTAACAAAAACTGGGCTCTTCAGACCGAGGCTCACTTTTGCCAGCTCCAGCATGAGATTGCTTCTTGTAGCCTGTATACATGTGTATTGAGACACATTACAAATACCCTGCTGCCCTCCAGATTCACAAACTTACATGACGATCCTGAAGTGTCTCACTTCAGACTCTGTCAGCCTTCTCCATGCCCTTCACCACCCAGCAGCTGCTTGCCTTGCAGATCTCTTTCCCAGCGCTTCCAGTTGCTGTGATATTAATGCTTTTCTTCAAAACTCCCACTCCACAATGATGTGAGCACCTTAAAACCTCAGCGTCCCCTTCAAAATACAGTGGGATTTTCTTGTCTGCAGAGGTGGTGAGAGGAAGCTGAAAAATGTGATCAGTTTGCACACCAAAACACCTCTCACTGTTTTTGTGGCTTTTAAATGAAGATCATAATATAGTTCATTTTTAAGCATTTGGAAACACCTGCTATCTTTGTTTGTTTATTTGTTTTTGTTCCCTACTATTAGTGCCCCATAATTCTTCTCTAAGATGCTCAAAGTTTCTCTGAGATGCTGAGGACTCAAGTGTTTGCCAAGTGAGCTGTCTTTGCCTGGGATCAATCTTATAGCTTTGTTCACATCTGCCTGGGACCATAAACTCTTTCATTTCCTTTTGTTATTCAACAGTGTGAGAGGTGAGGCAGACACTTTCTCAATGTTTATTCATAAATATCAAACAAGCTAGCTCCTTCCCGCCTTTTCACCTGCAGAACCCCAAAACATTTTTGAAGCCCAAACTGTAACTTACCGTAGATATTAATAAATGCAAACTTTGCCATTGGGAGGAGAAGAAAAAAAAAAAAGTGAAAACACAATAGAAGGGAGGTAAAAAGCTCTGAATGTAAACTTTTTTGTTTGTTTGCACTGTGAGTACAAACACTACAGTAACTTGCTGAACTTCATATTATTTCATAGATCTTCCTCTAAGCTTTCAAAATCAAACCCTAGCGGAGATTAACATCCAAAATAATTGTTTTAATTTTGCTCTTTTCTTGAGGCTGGTCAAAGACTGATTGCTGTCCATCAAAACCCACTTGAAAATTTTTTTTAATCAGATGAATTATGTAAAGAGGAAGCACTTTTCCCAATATTACCAATGAACTGTAGCAGTTCATTGCTACAAACAGTGACAAAAGTGACTTCAGCAGCTCTGATGTTGAATGGCACTGAAGGCACAGAAAGACAATTGAAAATATCTTGTCCTTCCCTACTGATGTGAAAAGGTAGGAGAAAAAAAGAGGGGAGCGTTGGGATGGTCATTTACCCTACAGGGAAAGCAAAAACCTTGTATTCCTGTTGTAATCCCCAGAAATCTTGTTTTTGCCTAATGCCATTTCATACATTTTTGCTCACGGTAGGCTGAGCAGTATTCCTACTTGGTTGCCTGGGATGGGAGATGTTAAGTGTCATGTCACACATAGCTGTGCACCGCGTCCTCATGCTGGGCTGGGAACTGATCCCATGGGCAGCCGGTGACATTTCCAGGGGCTGGGAGAAAGCGGGGGCAGGCTGATTCATTCTCTGTCTCCTCTTCCTCCCTGGTTGTGTCTCCTGCTCGGGCTCCTTTCAGCCTTATTCATGAGCAGATCACTGAGGGAAGGGAACGGGGAAAGCTATTTGCATTCCAACATTACATTTAAAAGCTATAAATTACCGGCTACTATAAACAATCTCCTTGCTGACGGCACTGCTCATAAAAATCTGTGTTTGTGTGTGTGCTGCGTTCAGCTGTGTGTGTCCACATTCAGCCTTGTGGGATTTTTTTCTCCCAGTTATGACAACTATATTAATTCTTCTGGGCTCTGAATGCAATGCCTGATGCAACACATATTTTTGCTGTTTTTCTGGTTGTTGTAGGTCCAACTCAGAAGTAAAATCATTGCCACTGCTTTGAGTTAAGTTTTGGTGTTAGACTGGGAGAAAGGATTGTGGTCTCCTTGGCCAAAAGCTAGACAAATAGTAAAAATGCTTTAGAAACAGTGATATTTACTGTAGCCAGAAACACTGTGCTACTGCTGAAGAGGCAAAAAGGTTATGCAGAGGGAAAAACAAGGAGGAGGAGACTCAAAGATGTAATGTTTGCTGTGTGTCTGCAGGTAAGCTGAGTACACAGAGCTGGGAGTGGGGGCTGCAAGTGAAGGGAAAACTGCTCTATTTCTAACAGTACTCTAAAGACATGATTCCTAAAGACTGTGAGAGTAAACAGAGTGTGGTGATGATGGTCTGCATCTGTGCAGTCTTTCAGGGTGGTGGTACATGTGAGGGGGCACAGAAATGCAGTGATCTTCAGCCCAGTGGGTTCCTGGGATCCAGTGTGCTTTCCAAAGCTTGCTCAAGTCTTCTGACTGGTGAATCATGAAAAAATTGAATTCTGTTGGAAAAAAAAAAAAAAAATCAGTCTGTTTGATATGTATTATTCTCTTAGGTAACCCTGCCTTCATGAACTGGCAGGTTTTTCCCTCATGAGATTTAATTCCTGATGATTTCTTCCTCTTGTAAATACATGTAATGTCACAAGGCTGGCAGAGTCCTCAAACCTTGTGTTTGTGAGGTTTGAAGGCTTTGGCCACAGACTCTACCTCTTAGCAAAAAAAGAGAAATCCCCTGTATCTGTGCCAGACAACATTATTTGTGAGTGCTGAGACTGGGCTGCCTGTGTCGGGGATTGCCCAACTGCTGACCGGACAAAGAGGAGCACTGCAGACCTCCATTTCGTAACCAGATACAGAAACACAAGGGAACTGTGAGTGCTCTGGAGGTGTTTATGGCAGGAGCCACAGTCTGGAAGATTTCTTGGCTCATGGATAGCTGCAACCTGAGATGTTTTTATTTATTTATTTATTTATTTATTTTTTCCCCCACATTTTCAGATATGCATGGTTACAATTATCTGTACAAAAATCATGTATTGGACCTGTCAGGCCAAGGTCACCAGGTCAGGAGGGAAACCCTGCTCTGAGTAATGAAACCTCCAAGCAGGGTTAGTATTTTCAGCCTCAAATAAGAAGACCCTTCCTGTCTCCAGCCAATGCCAGGTGCAGTGTCACAGCTCCTCTGCTCCAGTGGCAGCTCTGCATGGGAAGGCTGAGCACACATGGCAGGTCTTAGCACTGTCATCCCAGCTGACCGGCAAATTGCTAGTGAAAAGCCTCCTGAGGGGGTACTGTTGGTGCTGGATTGAGAAGGAAAGGAGCAGAGTGGCAAGGTGCCAGATCAAAGAGTTTCCTGTTCCCTGGTCACTCTCTAAACAACAGGCATTGCCTTCCCCTGTGCCCTGTCCCTCTCTGAGGAGAGCACTGGCAGGATTTGCATGTGTCAACTCACAGAGCATTTGAAGGAGGTCCTTGTCCCTGGATCTTGCTCTTACCTGGCTCAGCAGCCACATTTGCCAGGTCACTTTCCATGCTTGCAGTGTGCAGCTAAACCTAGAGCAGGAGGTGCAGTGAGGTTGTGGCTGTACTTTGTGGGGCTGCTGCCGTGTGCTGGAGACTCGTCAGCTTTTCTCCAAAGGAGCAGGTATCTGCCCCATGGGACACCTCTCCAGGAACAGCAGGACTGTCTCTCCCACACAGGCTGTGCTGAGGTAATTCACCTCATCATGAGCTGAAATCCAGCTTGCATCAGCTCAAGGCAGTTTCAGGGCTAATTTCACTGGCAAAAAATGGTGCGGCGTGCTCACACTGGCTAGTGGGGATCCCCAAAGTGCAGTGTGCTCCAGGCTCACTGTCTCAGGTATCATCCTGTGTTTTTTTGCCCTGCTGTGAGCACTGGCACGAGGTTACCTTTGGAAGTGTGGACTGAGACCACTCACAATCCTGTTGGATTTTGGGAGTATCACTAAGAGGATTTAGTGAGGGGTAGAGATCTGGTCTGTTTGGATTTGGGGTGGTTTGGGATGGCAGCATGACAGAAGCATGGGCTCAGACAGTGGGAATTTCCATGTGAAAGCTGTGGTTTGTGGAGGATTTCTTCTCTGTTTCGCTTCAGCTCTGCTGGCCATTACTGGAGAAGAGCAGCAAATTCATTTACCCAGTCATCTGAGGTGGTGAAGCATGCACCACCATGTCCCCATGACAAACAGGGGGGTGCAGGCCTGGGGCAGACCCTGGTGTGCTCCCGAAGAAGGTTCTGGCATTGTCTGGTGGAAATGTGGTGTCCACACCACTGGACCCACGCGAGGAGAGCAGCTCTGCCAGCAACTTCAAGGAGGTGTACAGCTTGCTGGAGTCCTGTGGCTAATGCAGAGATTTTCCATAAGAAAAGGAAAGGTCTGTGCACTGGTCTTTGGGTGTGAGCTCTTTATGGGGGTGAAAGGCAAAGGAGTAAAAGCCAGCCAGACCTGGGTGCCTGTGTTTCACACAGACCTGTGATCATTTCTGGAGGTCAGTCCTTGATGTGCCATGGTCCTCCACGTCTACCCACTACATCCAACCACACCTCCAGCGGGGCTTATCCAGGTCTGCTCCCCCACACTGCAGATTAAAGAAGGAAATGTGTGTGCTGGCAGATCAGTGCCTGCACACTAATCTGCGGTGTGAGGGGATGCTGCTGAGGGGTATACAACGCTGCAGTGCTGGGTGGTGTGGACTGGATGAAAACCTGAAGAACAAGCAGCAGGTCCCGGGCGGCCCATCGTGGCCCGAGCGGGAGGGAGCAGGCCCTGCAGATCTCCATGAGAAGCGCCACTCGCTCGGCAGGGAGAGCGGAGCAGGCTGAGCCTGCGGTTCACATCTCTTTGTCAATGGCATCCAGCCCCTGGCCTTGGGAACTGACTGGCGGCAGTTTGCAAATGTATGTGCTTGGCTGGGAGCCTGCCGCTGCCTTTGTCCTCGCGGCGCAGGGGGGCTAATAGGGAAGCCGGAGCGTGTCATCCCCGACTGCCACAGCTTCCAAGCGGTAACATGACGGGCAACTTTTCAGACAATATCCAACATGAACATTCAAGGCTGAGCCTATTCTTCTTCTAGACACTGGTACTGACTGATTCCACATGCTGTTTTCCAGACTCGGTTGCTGTAACAAGCTAGAGCCCTGAACATGGACCATCGTCCTCCTGTGGAAAAGGCCCAGAGGGCCCAAAGGAGTCAAAACCATTTGGACCATTAAAGCTGGCTGCCTTTGAGCATTAGGTGTAATGCTGTAGGTGTAAAGTAATGAAATATTTGTGTAGAGTTTCATATAACATGCACAAAATTATTTGTATTTATTTCATTCTGCTTTGCACACCCTCCTCCCAGTACTTAAATGCAACTTGCATGGATCTGTACACATTTACAGGGAAAACTGCTGTGCTGCACCATGTGTGAAGGTGAGCTAATTACATGTTAGAGTGTTTGAGATGGGAGTGATAATGGCAGAGGAAAGATGCACCTTCTCCTCACTCCTGGACAAATTTGGATCAGGTGGCAGTAATGAAAAATCCCCTGGAACTTCTATTGGACTTGGAGAGATTTTTATTTATTTATTTATTTTTTCATTTTTTTCTCTAGGAGGATTAGAGGCTAATTCTTCTGGAATTCCTCTGGACCTTGTTCCTCCCAGATTTGATATTGGATCCCAGTGCTTCCAGGTAGCTAAGCATCAATGTTATTGCTGCCTGCCACTGTCATCTCTCTTCTTCCAAGTCACAAGTAGGAGGATTGCATGTCACAAAGTGAGGCAAATGGAAATATGCATAAAGACACAGGGGGAACTGGACATTCATGGATGAGGTGAATTGAAAATTATGTCTAGTCCTCTGATGAGTGCATAACTGCCATGGCTGAAAGTTGGTGATGGTCCTGCTTTGAGTGGGAGACTGGACAAAATGACATTTGGGAATCCCTTCCAACCAGCACTGCTCCGATCTAAGTGTCCATGACACTCAATCTGGTATGTTCTGCTTACATTTACAATAAAGTACAACTCCCCTAAAATGGCAGATTTTACTTGCACATAGCTTGGAAGTTCTGTTGGATTTGGTGCTCTCTTACTACTTTCTTCTTGCCAAAAGCATCTCAGGACAATTCATATCCAAAAGGGTCAGTCAGCTGGGCATACTCCTCAGCCTGAGTTTCACTATTGCTTCTTTGGGAGGAAAAAAAAAAAAAAAAGGCTACAATCTCATACCCATGTCTGTAAATGCTGTCAGGTGACAGTGAAGAACAGACATTTTTTGGTACTCCAGCTACAGCTCTGATTTCTTCTGCCAGAAACACAGTGGTGGTAACATTTGATTTGCAAATCTGGCATACAGGCATCAGCCCAGTTGAAAACAATCAACAGAAGCCATTTCCTCAGTGCAAGTAAATATATTGACATGTGTTGACAATAAACTGATTTTGTGCACTTTTGGAAAGGCAGACAGCATCTCACATGTTTTAACTGCTTAGCTCCTCTAAAAGACTATGCAGAAAAATATCTTTCATAGGCTATAGAAGGCAGCTCATCTTTCATATCTCTCGAGTCATCATGATGTCCTCTAATTACAAGAATATGATTTTTACAGAATATTCATGCTGTATTGAGCGTGACAATAATACATTCAAAAAGTATGTATAAAGCATATGCTTTAGGATATGCGATGGAGTGAGAGTTGTTAAATAATAATTTTTATCCTGTTACTTCCATTTAAAATACATTGAAGTATTAGTTATGGTTTGGAAACCATTTGCCATCTTTGTTCTAAGGCATTCATTTGTTGTCAAATGATTAAACTGTGTAAATATCCTTCCACAATTGTCAACAATCAGGATATGAGACTTTGTAATAACTAAGGCTAGTACTTCTCATCACCAGATCTTACATAGCTGTGTGATGAAGGTAAATGTTTCTGCTTTACAAGAAAGGAGATTGTCTGTCCACCTGAATGGCCAGCTCAGTGAAAGCTTGTCTTGTCGTCCTGAGGAATCAAAGAATGAAGTACTGACTTGTCTGACAGATTTAGGAAGCAGACCCTGAGAGAGTAGTTTGTGCTTCGTGGGTTTTCTGGCACAGAGCAGAACAAGAAAAGGCTGTTGGATCCTGCCCAGGTCTCTGCTGGAGCTGCACAGGCCACATGGCTCTGCCAGGGGAAGCAGAGGCTGCAGACCCTTCCACCGGCAATCACCTGTCAGCATGAGGTGATGCCAGCACATCTATATTAAATAGAAATTGGAACAAATCCCTAAATAGCTCTGCCTCTTTGTAGGGTCATTGTGCCTGTGTGCCTTTGGGTTCCCAAGTGCTTAGCTGGAGGGAGCGTAGCAATGATTTTTGTGTGAAACTTCCATTGTTTATCGACAAAGTCTATTTTTGAAACCAGCTGAAGCCTGGGAGAAACTTTGCTAGAAAGAGTCTTGCTGCGGGGAAACAACCTCCCATGACAATGGGGAGAAGTCCTGGACCTGAGCCTCAGGCTTCAAACAGACCCAAATCTGACACCTCTCAGGCTCTGTGGACGTGGATATGTAGGGAACTAATGAGAAGAAATCTAATGTTGTAACCAAAGTGCTCACCTCTGATTTGGGGCAGTGTTTGAAGATGAGGGAAGCAGACTAAGCATATACACGCATGTTATCTGAGACAAGGAGTCCCTCTGCAGACAGAGAGCATTTCTCAATCCATAGTGATTGTAGGCTCTTTCCTGACAAGCAGATTTTCCAGTACCTCCCAGCTTCTCACTCCAGCTCTCATCAGGGTTCACAGCTTTGTCTCTGCCAGGGACTCTTTTCGATGGCAGTGTGACAGTTCCTTCCCTCTCCTCTGCTCCAAAGAGTAGAAAAACCAGTCAGTGCAGTAAAACAGGGTGGTTTTATCCACTTTCACCTTGCTAGACTAATGTCTTAAAATCCAGCTTAGAACATGAACATTATAACCCCGTGGTGAAATTCCTACTTGCAAAAAGATGCGGTCAGTGCCGGGACGGTTGCTTGCTGCAGTTGTCACTGTGTGGCAAGGAGCAAGCGCGCAGTGCTGCTGCGCTTGGGTGCACTCGCAGGGACAAAGACCTGGTGTCAGCCTCCGCCTTGAAGTCAGGGACGCGTCGGTTCATCCCTCGGGGAAATGTGCGTAAATAAAAGCAGAAACTTCAACGAAAGCTGGTTGTAAGGAGACCGCTATAATGCAGTTTATGGCAACATTGCACACGAGGATAGAAGCAACACCTATGGAAGATTTCGACCTCATCTCCTAAACTGCTGCTGACATAAGCAGCCAAATCTGCACCCATTTGAATTGTATTTATGCCATTAGTTACTCATATTGCCTGGAGATATCAAGATATCAGTGCAATAGACACTGTGCAACCAGGCTGTTAACTCACAGCAAAGATTTACTAATTAATGATGTGCTAGCGCACCTATTTAGCATTACTATGCTAATACTTATTACTGTGTAAGTTGTGTTCAACTTTAAGCACCGGCTTAAGCTGTTTCATGTCAAGGACACTGCTAATACTATGCTGAATTTCCACATAAAATTGTAGAAGCAATTCTGCATTGCTTTCTCAGAGTACTGCCTTTGCACATGCTACTGCCCTTTGGAGACTGAGAGGCATTTTCTGTAACATTAGGATATAAAAATAAAATAAAATTGTACTCATATCATTTTTCAACTGTATTTTACAAATTAGTTAAAATAGATACACAACTTGAGCTGAAAATGTCATCTTTCCTCCTTTTCAGGAGTCATTTCTGTCAAAATTTGCAGGGCTTTATGCTTATATTTTTGTACAAGAGTAAAACTGAAGCAGTAAATAGCTCAGTTTTCAGAAAAGCGGTTTCAGGTAAACATTTTGACTGTAGTTAAAAAAATTGGTTGGCAAAAAAAAAAAAAAAGGAAAATCTTAAGAAGTTATTTCAACTTCAATTGTTTGCATTTTATTCTATCAAAGAAAAGGCAAATATTCACTGAAAAAGAGATTCTTCTGCAGTAACTTTCCATTTAAGAATCAGTTCTCACTTGACTTACTTTTTGGAAAAACAAAAAATTCATCCAGTTCTCATTTCCAGATGCCTGAGAACAAGTTCCTCGCAGAATGGAAAAAAGAAAAAAAATGCCTTTGAAGCCCCAAGCTGAGGGGAATAATGGTACTTCAAGTCATCTCTAAAGGTCTGCCCCAGAGATTATGCTTTAATTTAGGAGAGCTTCGCAGGGTGTATTCCCTCTCATCTCCCAGGGCATCTCCTTAAAAACACCCGGATTTTAACAATGGATTGTTAACAATCATCTCATCTACTGCTCTCTGAAAATTGTAAGGTACTCGATGGGGAAATCTTTTCCTGAGCACAGCCTTGACCTGCAGCAGTGTAGGAGCACAGTGCATAAGGGAGTGTAGGAGCAGCCTGTGTAAAGGCAGCAAGCACTGTGTCTGGGCTGAAGCACTTAGAAAATTATCAGCAGCACATTTTCTGCTCATGTTCTAATGGAAAAAATGTGATGATATACTTAATTTACCAAGATATATGTAAGCACTTGTGCATTATTTTCTCTTGCATCTGTCATTAAAGTAATTGGCCTAAATGTTGTTTGTCTCATTGAAAAAGACCCAGTTAGAACAATGTTTGAAATCTGCCCTGTAACTCTGCTTTGCTGTGGGGGACCAAAGGGACCAAAGTATCTCCTAGATGTACAAACAACGTGATAGAGCTTGGTGTGATAAACCCAGGGCTTAACAGCCATTGCCGTCAAGTAAAAATCCCATTATTTTTGTAAATAGAAACACAGCTTTTAATATAAATCCAGTTCTGTTAAAATTTCCTCAGAGATCATTCTAAACAAACAAATGTGCTAATAGAATTAGATTGAGTCAGAATTTAGCACAGACTTGTTTTTATAAATGGACAGAAGAAGCCATGAATTTGTATTTCTGTAAGAACCCAACTTTCCCAAACGGCATGTGTGGTTGCTGTGCTTTGGTCCCTTTGGCAGACACATTTAACGTTACCCACGCTCTGCCTCAAATGATGCAAATGACTTTCCAGAGCTATTTGCAAAGCGCGTGAAACATTGCAAGCAGTGCAGCGTTATCCGTGTGCGGTTTTACTAGGGCTATGATTGAATTCTTTGCAGCACAAGAAAGCAACTAGTTATTTTACCGTGCCAGAAGATTGGTAACTATTTATTTACACATTTATTATCTGCTCCGCTCCGAGAATAAAGAATGAGCCTGAACTACAAAAGCTGAGCCTGCATGAAGGCCCATCAGTCTCTCCACACTTCTGCTGTCAACCCTATTATAGGGGAAACATTATTCAAACTGCAGGCTCCAAACTCCCAGGTAACTAGAGACAGCAGGAAGCTCTGTTTGATATCAAGTATATTCTTTATCAACCTTTTTGTTGCGATGGGAAGAAATGATCTAACTTTACTTTCATCTTGCTCTGTCCTCACATCACCCAGTAGGTGAATTGCTTTATTGGTGAGCCTTGGCCAAAAGCTCTTTGATATATGCTGCCCTTTGCAGCCATAAATTTTCCATCTTTCAGACAAGGTTTGAGACTTTCCCTGTCCTGCTATTCTACCCCTAAGCGATTAGATGCTCTTTTCAGAATGAAAGATGAGCTTTCATGGAAACTCTTGGCCCTCTCCTAGGTACCATAAAATAGCCATAATTTGATTTTCCTAGCGCTGATAAAAGTTGCAGACTTATCACCTGCAGGCGGGCTGGTGCTGCGCCTGGCGCCAGCACAGCTGTGGCATGGAGGGCGGCGAGCTCCACCCCAGAGGCATGGCCAAGCAGGGCTGAGAAGGTAAAAATTGGGGTGTGCTGGGCACAGACCCGTGCTCATGGGGAGCACAAAGCCTGGCGTTCCCCAGTAAGACCCCACATGGGGAGCCGATGGAGAGATCTGGATGAACAGCCACACACTGTGGGTTTTGGTGGCATTTGAAGTGACCCCAGGCAGGGATATGCACCACGCTGGCTCTTGCTGCCATGGCAAGCAGGTGGAGGATGGCTGGTGGTCCCCAGCACCTTGAGCTATGCACAGGACTTCGAGGACGTCCTCAGCCCTGGCACAGGTTTGCCATGTGGCCTCGAGCAAGTCACTCGGACAACACTCATGATTCCCTGGGTCTTTGGAAGTGCCAGTGTGAGCTGTGGCTCACACACAGTTCCAATGCTTAGTTCTTCTCTCTGTTTTATCCCTGTGAGGTGGGGGATATAATAAACTGCTTCCTGTTCTGTGGTGCAGAGGGGCTGACTACACAGGAGCTTTGGGCACACCAGTGCCAGGGACTACTGAGGACTGTTTCCCAGGGACATCATGAGGAGAGCCAGCTAAGAGCTGGCGGCATCCTGCTTTTGCAATTAGATGTCTGTGATTTAATAAAGACAGCTGGGGAATTCTTTATTTATTTCTCTCCTGGAAAAGACCGATGAAAGCAATTTTTCTCAGTTTGGCCAAAATATTTCTTTGACAGCTTTCGAGTTTTCATTAAAAATGAAAACAAAAAAAATGTTGTTGCCTGAAAACTAAGCATAAAAGCCTTTTGGATGGCAATAATACTAATGCTAGAACATTTAGTCTGAGACAGCAGTTTCAAAAGAAACTGGTAGGCCAAGTGCAACAGCGTTATGTCCCAGACTCCCACGAGATGGAGAACCCACTGCTGTGGCCTGGTACGCAGGCTGCCATTTTATTTCCCTGTGGTTTCATCTTTGCTGGGACTCAGATGCTCGTTGCAGCTGAAGACTTAAGCAATGGTGAGTGAGTGAGTGGGGAGACCCTAAGCATGGCTGTGGGCTCCTTCCAAGTCATGCCACCTGCCAGCTCCTGTTGAGGTTGCCAAGGTGGGCAGGGATCAGTGAGCCAGAAATAAATTTGTTCACACAGCCTCTCAGCAAGAGCTGGATGAGGGATGGCAGAGGACCTGACCTGCTGCATCCATGGGGTCCTACCAAAGGGACCTCATGGAGTGAGGATCACAGGGCTGAAGAGTTGGACCTGATGTGGTGGTGGTGGGGATGCTCCACTGTTACAGCTGAGCACCGCCATCAGGGATGGCACAGGGATCAGAACGAACCCTCAAGACTGCCCAACCAACACCACCACTCCTTGGGTGGAGGAGCTGCCTCGGGGGCCTGGCTGACAGGAGGCTGAGCCAAGGGCTAGGGGAGGCCGGGAGCGGCCGGCTGCCCAGCGCCAGCAGCGCCCGGGCTGGGCGTCTCCAGCCAGAGCCCTCAAGAATGGAGAGGGTCCTTCAAAAGGAGAACAACCTTCGACCCCCAGTCATCATTTTGGCCATCAGGTCAACAGTTGTTCCACAGAACATCGGCAATTGTCTTTCTCCTTGTGTCAGGAGGCTCTTGAAACATTATACGAGGATAATTAAGTGGTGAATAAGGGTCAGCGTGGACAAATAAATCAAACTGATAGTTTGAACACAGACTGATTGAGCAAAAACAAGGAATTCTGCCATGCCTGTTAGCGCTGCTCTTGATGTTAACTGACTTTGTTAACATTACATCCAAAGGCAGCAAGTGGGAAAGCTTTGTGAGGAATCAAAAGCTGAGCAAAGAGACATGGGCTTTAATTGTTCAGCTTTATTTTTGAAATAAAGACATGCAGTGCATCAATTTAGCTGACTTTAATGGACCACAAAACTGAACCTATTCTTTAAAATGCTAATTGAGTTTGAAGATTCTCGCCTCTCGCAGAACTGGGATGCAAGAAATGCCAGTGCCACATTCAGACGTGTCAGGAGCTGTCGTACAGTTGCCTTTGGAGCAAGTGGGTAAAGTGCATACCATCATGCAAGAGGTAAGTTGCATACAGCAGGATAGCCCATCCACAGAGGAGAAAACATCCAGACAAATAACGTCTTTGTACGTACAGTGCCTTACAGAGGTTAAAGTCTTTGTAGATATGATAATATAAAATCGGTGAGAGACATTAATACCAATGCTGTATTGCAAACCCACATGGTGGACTGTGTGAAAGATTTGTACTCAAACCCATGAAACTCAAGGTCACTCACTTATGCTAGGGAGTAAGGGATGAAAAAGGGGTAGTAAGTCCCTAAAAGACTTTTAAAGGGAAATGATGTGTCCATAAGTGCATGTGTTTCTAATGAAAATAAGTGATAGACATAGGAATATAACATATACACATTACTCTATAAAAAGGTCTATAAGAAAAATAAGAAAAGAATAATAAAAGAATCACATTGACATTTCAGGATTTTGTTTGCAAAAAACCAAGACCATCCTGCCAAGTCCTCTGTGTGTCTTTCCTTCTCCAGCTTCAGCAAATGCTGAGTCTATCTTTTGCTTCTGCTCTTTCCCTGGCACCAAACGGAAGGTGCAGGGTGCTGCTTGTGCTGGGACCTGTACTTCCATGTGCTGAAACCTCAGAGAAGTAATGGTTCTCATGCTACAAGTGGCTGTGCCATTTTCTCAGCAGATGGAAGTACAGAGAATTACAGATAGATGCTCATAATGCAGCTTGTCCTGCATGTGTTGCCTTTACCAGAGCACTGGGTACAAACCACAGCAGTTCTGACTTCTAGGATCAAGCCCATGTGTTTAAAGAAGGAAACCTGTCTTGCTACACATCCTAGCGATGTTCTATTAAAAGTCATTGTCTTTCTGTGCTGCTATATTTCATTTCATACACACCTGACTATTATTTCAGGAAACAATTCAAATTGGTAAGAATCAATTTTGGAATTAAAAATGAAGATTGAAATAACACAATGTTCTCTTTTGTTGAGGTAACATCAGTTGTCTCCAAAGCAGAGTTTGCAGCAAATATTAATAATGCCTTGACTATTTTCTTTCTTACAAGGCAATGTGCATAGCACATTACAG